CGAATTTAACGTACTTTTTGCATACTTAACGTAAGCAACATGAGTGACCGATTGAAAAGAATGCGGTCGAGAAAGGAGGCCAAGTTCTCCAGAATATGCTCCAGAGCAGAAGTGCTGATATCTTCTCAAGGAAGTATAGATAAGATACAAGACACAATAAAGGAGCTTGACGATGTGCTCGAAGAAATAGGAACTGCAAACGATGAATATGAAAACCAGATTGAAGAATCTGAAGAACAAGAACTTGCGCACAAGTATATGCAAGATATCGAAGAAAAACACAAATGCGTGACGGACCAGCTAAAGCTGCACTTGGAGACCCGCGCTAACGAGACTCGCGCAGGCGTGGCCTCTAACAGGTCAGTGTCAGTCGCTCGGTCACACGCCTCCACCGCCTCTCGAGCCTCGGCTGCATCGAAGGAGGCACACATCAGTGCGCGCCTGCAGCAAATGCGTGTGCACCAGCTGGAACGCCGTCTCGAAGAAGAGCGGATATTGGAGCGACAACAGCGTGAGACGGAGCGACAACAGCGTGAGACGGAGCGACAGCAACGTGAGGCGGAGCGGGTGGCCCGGCTCGCTGAGGCTCGAGACGCAGCACAGCTTGCAGCGACAGAGGCAGAGCTTCGAAAAGCGGCAGAAAATGACCTTACGTGGGATCGTGTTGATGACTTCTGTGGTGAGACGGCGTTGAATGAGGAGCGCTCTGCTCGGCAGCAGCTACCGGTGATCGGCGGCAGTATCACATTGGATGATGGGACGATGGATGAGGCAGAACGGCGCCGACCCGGCCGTGAAGACGCTGCCACTCGTCAGACGCAAGCGGAGCCGGATCGCTCTAGGGAGCGTGACTCAGGAGTTGGTTATCAGGCAGCGGCGGCACGTGACATCCCTCCCGTAAACCGACCCAGTATGACGTCACAGGAAGCTGTGCTCCCGTCGCGCTCGTCTGCATTTCCCGCCGAATCTGTGCCTAAGCGGACTGCATCACAGACGTCGTGGATTTACGAAGTCGCTCGGGACGTCGGATCAGCTGATCGTGCTGCTGGTGGCAATCATCGGAGTGTGCCCCAGATTCAGCTGCCCAAGTTCAGTGGAAAAGCGATTGAATGGCCACAGTGGATTGGTCTTTTTAAAACAATGATACACGATCACAGGAGCCTGTCAAACTCGGAGAAGCTCGCGCATCTCCAGTCGTCAGTGACGGGCATCGCGAAGCAGGCGGTAGAAGGGATGCTCTTCGATGGCGACCTTTATCCAGCCGCGCTACAGACATTGGTGGAGAGATTCGGGAGAGAGGGAGACATCGTCAACGCGAATCTATCCTCCGTCTTCAGAATCCCTCCTATGAAGGAAATCGACTCGTCCGCGCTGGGAAATCTGTCGGCTGCCGTCCACTGCGCAGTGACAGTGCTGAAGAGCATGGATTTTGACGGGGACCTCAACAGCACGGAAAATCTCCGACGCGTCGTATTAAAACTTCCGGATGAACTGAAGCGTGACTGGGGACGCCGAATCATCGAGCTTGAACCCAGACGCGCAAATCTACAAGATTTCGACCGCTGGCTGATCCAGCAGGTTCGGATCATGGACTCAATCCCAGTACGGTCCTTCGAACCAAGAAGATCGCAACGACAGGGAGAAGCTCGGAGCTTCACACCTCGTGCTCCCTCAGGGCCTGCAGCCCTTACTACAGCCCCGAAAATCGAAGCGAAAAATGAGTCGTCAGAGACCGGCGGACATGAATCGCAATGCAGCTGTGGAGCTCGCCACAAACTCGATTCGTGTCCCACCTTCCTCGCGAGAACTCCAGCGGAGCGCGCCCAGTTCGTCGGTGAGAGCGGACGTTGCTTCATGTGTCTGAAGCACGGACATCGCTCGCGTCAGTGCACCTCTGGAGAAAAGTGCGGTGAAGCTGGCTGTCAAGGAAGACACCATCGTGCTCTGCACGGCAGCAGCCGAGTTTTCCCACGCTCAGAGGTAGCAGGAGGTACATCGAGTCGCCGCACAGTCGCCTTTACTACGCCGCAGGAGGACGAGACAACGCTGCTTCAAATCGTGCCGGTCCGTGTTCATGGATCGGAGAGTTACGTCGATACCTTCGCCATCCTCGACTCTGGCGCTCAGGTTTCTCTGTGCACGGAAAAACTCGCCAGAAAACTGAATCTGAAGGGTGAAACCAGGCCACTGAGCCTCAACAATGTTGAAAACAGCGGGCAGCGGCGGATGGCGTTAAAAACCTCCTTAAAGCTGACCCCGCTCTCGCGAGACTCTGGCCCCGGTGCTGTAACTGCCAGTGAGGTCTGGACGGTGCCACATCTGAACGTTCCCTCGCCGCAGATCAGCTCTACTTCACGCGCCCAGTGGCAGCATCTGAATGGACTGGACATCAGCCTGGCCCGCCCGGACCAAGTAGAGGTGCTCCTTGGAGCGAACGTGCTGGAGGCCATACTCCAACGTGAGGTTCGAATCGGACAGCCTGGGCAGCCGATCGCCATAAAGTCTTATTTTGGCTGGGCGCTATGTGGCAAGATAAGCGGATTGATACCGCCCGCGGAGCAGCATGTGATGCACGTGCATCGCCGTACTTCTCGTGACGACGAGTTGGACAAAATGGTGCAGAACTGGTGGAACACCGACTCGTTCGGAACGGCACACTCAGAGACGAAGCCTACGTCTCACGAGGATCGACGTGCTGTGAAGATTCTAGAAGAATCGACCAAGCTGGTGGATGGCCATTTTGAATCCGCCCTTCTATGGAAATCTGACGACGTATCGATGCCAGACAATCGTCTCGGCGCCCTCCGACGATTGGAAAGAGCTGAACAGTCGCTGCAAAGAAACCCTGCAAAGGCTCAGAAGTACCAGGACATAATCGACAGCTACGTCTCGGCTGGTCACGCGCGGAAGTTGGAGGACAGTGAAGTCGCAGTAGCGAACCCCAGACGCTGGTTCTTACCGCATCACGCGGTTTCTAACCCCAACAAACCTGGCAAAATTCGCATGGTGTTCGACGCAGCGGCGGAGTTCAAGGGTACGTCGCTGAATAACGAACTGCTCACTGGTCCGGATCTGCTGCAGGAGCTCCCCGGCATCTTAATCCGATTCCGCGAGAAGCTCATCGCGATCGCTGGTGACATCGATCAGATGTTTCTGCAGGTGAAAATCCAGAAGCAAGATCGACCGGCTCTCAGTTTTCTGTGGAGAGATCTGGAGCGCGATAGGCCACCAGATACTTACGAGATGACAAGGGCAATCTTCGGCGCCAAATGTTCTCCAGCTATCGCCAGTCACGCCCTGCAGAAAGCCATGATGAATGACGTAGATGGCGTGCATCCCTGGACAGTAGATCGGCTGTCAAAACAGTTCTATATGGACGACTATATCGCCTCAGAAGAGTCGCCCGAGTCAGCCAAACGTCTTCTGCACACCGTCACTTCGCTGGCTGCCAGCGGAGGCTTTCAGCTCCGCAAATGGATGAGCAATTCTAGGGAAGTTCTCGCGTCGGTCCCAGCGGCGGACAGAGCGCATCCTGACGCGGACCTCTCGACACCGCTGCATCCTGGGCGTGTCCTCGGTCTACTCTGGGACACTGAAAGAGACACAGTCAGTGTTCAACCGCCAGAGAAGCAGACGATCTCGACAACGAAGCGGAGTGTGCTATCATCCATAGCATCGACATTCGATCCGCTGGGTTTAGTCGCACCTTTCACTCTACAGGCAAAACTTCTGATGCAAGACCTGTGGAGAAAACAGCTCCCTTGGGACGCGACACTGACCGATGACGACCTATATCGCTGGCGATATTGGCAGCAGAGCGCCACTCTGCTCTCTGGCCTGAAGATCCCTCGTTGCTATACGGCAGCAGCTGTCGCAGATGTCATTCGCCGAGAGCTGCATATCTTTTGCGATGCATCGGAGGCCGCCTTTGGAGCCGCTGGCTATCTGAGGCAAGTTGCTTCGACTGGCGCTGTCAGTTGTGCTCTGGTAATGAGTCGCACTCGGGTCGCTCCTCTGAGAAAACTGACAGTCGTTCGGTTAGAGCTGCAGGGAGCGGTCCTCGCTACGAGACTGGCCAAGAGCATTGAAACGGCCCTGTCCGTGCCAGTCGACGAGACCTATTTCTGGACAGACAGCCAGGTAATACTGGGCTACATCAACAATGACAGTCGCCGTTTTCAAACCTTCGTAGCGAACAGAGTCGCGGAGATCAGAGACAGCACGATCCCCAGCCAGTGGCGCCATGTTCCGGGCTCATTAAACCCGGCGGATGACTGCTCGAGAGGCCTGCCGATGTCGGAGCTCACCATTGACAGCCGCTGGTTGCAAGGCCCGGACTTCTTGAAGAAGCCAGAAGGAAACTGGCCTGCTGCTCCCCTCGTGCAGGTTTCTGACGAAACCGACCCAGAAGTGAAGACGGTGGCGGCTCTGAGTAAAACGGACTCTCCAGGGCCCCTGGTCGATCCAGCTCGCTACTCCTCCTGGATCAGATGCAAGCGTGTCACTGCGTGGGTGGTTCGATTCACCGGTAACTTCATCGCAAAACACGGCACGCGTCATCACAGCTTGCTACGGAGTGGGCCACTGACCCTGAAGAGCTGATCGACGCTGAAACTCGGATCGTTCTGAGGTCCCAACAGGAGGCCTTTCCTGAGGAGCTGGCAGCTCTGTCTCGTAGCAAGCCGCTCCCTACCGCCAGCTCACTCGTGGAGCTGACTCCAGCCATCGACAGAGATGGGCTCATCCGCGTGGGAGGAAGACTAGAGAAGAGCCGCCTGTCGTCGTCTTCGAAGCACCCCGTCATCCTGCCGAGAAATCACGACGTTACTCGGCTCATCGTAACGTCTGAGCATCGTAAAGCGTTCCATGCAGGGACGGAGCACACTCTGAATGAGCTAAGGCAGTTCTACTGGATTCCGAAGGCGAGGTCAGCTGTCAAATCATACCTACATTTCTGTGCGGTCTGTAAGAGACGGCGAGCCAAACCCCAGCCTCCGCTCATGGCCGATTTGCCGGAGGCAAGATTCGACAGCAGGCACGCCTTCAGCTCCATCGGGCTGGATTTCTTCGGGCCTGTCCACGTGAGAATCCACTGCGACAACTGGAAGAGCTTCAAGAGGGGTGAACGGGAGCTTCGTGAATCACTGCAGAAGTGGAACGAGATGCAGATCAGCGACTCCCTGACTCAGCAGAACATCAGGTGGCGCTACAACCCACCTGGCGGACCGCACATGGGCGGCTGCTGGGAGCGACTGGTGGCCTCGGCAAAAAGGGCCCTGCGGGTTGTCATCGGCGAACGGCTTGTGACGGATGAGGTGCTGGCTACGGTTCTGGCCGAAGTGGAGCACATGCTGAACAACCGTCCACTGACCTACGTCAGTTCAACCGCTGGAGACCCGCAGGCTTTGACGCCAAATCACCTTCTCCTCGGTCGAGAGTTCCCTAACCTGCCTCCAGGGGCGTTCTCAGAAGAGGACCTGACAACCAGGCGACGCTGGAGACATGCTCAGCAGATAGCCGAGCACTTCTGGAGACGCTGGTCCAAGGAGTATGTCCCGACACTGATGAAGAGGGAAAAGTGGACGAGAGACACCCGGCAGCTCCAGGTGGACGATGTAGTTATCGTGGCTGACAACAACGCCCCTCGCGGTCGGTGGCCGATTGCTCGGGTGACGAAGGTTTACCCCGGCTCTGACGGGCGAGTGCGGTCAGTGGAGCTGAAGACGCGAACTGGCACGTACGTCAGACCGGTGGTGAAGATATGCCCTCTGGAGAAGGCAGCCTAATGCACAAGCATGATACCACATTCGCTGAAGGTGGCAGATATCGACGAATATCGATTGGATTGGACGGAATATGTGTGTTTTCCCTTATGTGTAATGACCTATATTGGTCATGGGGTGTTTTACAGCCGCGCGTGCTCGTCTCGAGGGGGGAGGATGTCGCCGATTCGATGGCTCCAGGAGAATGACGGCGCGTGATGATGTAAATTAAATGTGACCTCCATAACGATGTAAAATGTTTTTTGAATTCGATTCGTAACGGCTCAGTGAAACAATACATTTTGTTTTGATCGGCTAGATTCGATAATTTATAGTTCGTTATTTTATTCGTAAATAATCGAAACAATTCGCTTGATCTTTCGCAGATGTCGATTCGCGACACAGGTATGTGTACCCCGCAGGTACAGAGATCGGTCGCCGTTATATGAGCCTTTCTCTCCCTCGCCTCTCTCCTCCCCTCTCTCCGTGCTCTCGCTCTGTTCCCGGAGCCCTCTTTACAGCTCTGTAACAGCTTGGTCCGCCCACCGCTTTATCACGCCGAGGCCCGCGCGACTGGCCAGACGACGCCAAAAAACGGCCGCCGCCCCCGACCGCCCGTCGAAAAACGGTCACGACTCGAAAACCGGCGCCGTGGCCGGCGGCGGGCGCCCGCAGAGCGCCCGGCCATTGTGAGGGGCGGCGCCGTGTCCTCCCTCTCCCGTCCTCTCTCCGCTCTCCCTGGACAGACGGTGTGAGGGCACAGCGACCCAGCACATTGCGGTGGTGAGAAATAGTGATGTCAATTACAGAAAATCGCAATACCGATACCAAACCAAATACCAACCAAAACCGTTATGAAATACCGATTGGGGAACATGAGGGAAATACCAGCTTTTTAACCAATTTATCAGCTCAGCATGCAGAAGTGACTGTGAGCGTTTATAATACCAACAAAATACCTATCAAAAACATTAGGATTGAAATACGAAAGCCAAGTTGGTATCGGCTTGGTATCGGTAGGTACCTATACCAAATAGTTGGTATCCGATTGACATCTCCATAAAAAATAGTTTTATAGTTAGAAACATTCTGAACAGGTCCGACCGAAGGTGAGATAGAAAGAGAGAGAGAGAGAGAGAGAGAGAGAGAGAGAGAGAGAGAGAGAGAGAGAGAGAGAGAGAGAGAGAGAGAGAGAGAGAGAGAGAGAGAGAGAGAGAGAGAGAGAGAAAGAGAGAGAGAGAGAGAAGAGAGAGAGAGAGAGAGAGAGAGAGAGAGAGAGAGAGAGAGGGAGGGAGGGAGGGAGAGGGAGAGGGAAGTATGAAAATCAAGTTTCATATATTCTAAAAAAGTGAAGAGCTGTTTCCAAATGATTGTACAAGCATTTACCTCGCCTGCGTATGTTAAGCCGGCAGTTGCTGGGTTATTTCGCCACCCACCGTTTGCTGGGGGGGGGGGGCGTTAAACGCCCCCAGCCGATAACTCGAAAACCAATAGGCGCAGCGAAACGCACGAGGCGGCAAACGAAAGAACGCGACGAGACGCTTCAGATGAGTACTTTAAAGTCGAATTTTGAGGTCACAGGTCGGGTCAGGGTCAGGTCAAACACCTGAAATCGGGCTTTCAGTAGCATGGATTTCAGGACTTCGCAATGGCCGCCTCTCGTCATAAACTCTGTCAAAACGGTGCACAATCCATCATATAAGGCCTAGAAGAGTGTCAGCTCCATGTACGGGTCAGTCAAGTATAGGTCAGGGTCATGGTCAGGTCAACCGGATATATAGGCACATATCCCCGAAAATCAAAACTGATATTCGCAGCCTGTGACACATGTTTTATGGGTAATTTGGGGCGTAGAACACGATGGTGACATTCATTTTATCATATGTGTACGTGTTTGGCTCAAAAAGCTCAATTTAGGAAATGCATGTATCATGGTCGTGAAGTAGTCACGAGAAATTGCCAAGATTCAGCTCAAGATTTTGGAAAATGCGGAACTATAATCAACAATCGAAGATAGCCATTTGATTGCTCATGGTATTGGCAGCCTAACGGCGTTTACGGCATGTCTGTATGTCTATTTTGTGATTTTATATGATTTTTTGAACATATGCCGTTTTTGGTCGAAAACTCAGAAATCATGACGTCACTAAAACCTCGATATCTCAAAAAAAAATTTCGACCGATTTTTTTAAAAATTTGTTTCAATAAACTTAAATTAATTTCGTACAAGTACCCCAAATTTGGCGCGCCTGCGCCACGCCGTTTTTATGCTACGGCCCGGCGAAAAAGTGGGGGCGTTTAACCCCCCCCCCCAGCAAATCGCGGGTTAAGAGCTATGTGTAAGAGCATTGGCTGGTATTGGTATACTTTATTCAGTTGACATATTCAAGTGCGTTTTGAACGTTGCTGCATACCTATTCACTGGATACAGAGTGATCCTGTGGAATCGAATGGGGATGTTCGGCTTATTTCCTCACCAGGTGGCAGCACTGCCTTCTTTGGACACAGAAACTGCGGCGGCGAATGCGCCACTGTGTTTTGCACTGTGTGGAGTCAATGCGGTGTCGGTCCGAGGGACTGAATTTCGGTGAATTTGATAGCAATTGATTTGAATTTTGCTCAGATGGGTTGTGAATTTATATTCAGCTAGTGTCACGAACATGGAAAGGCAAGTTTACAAAGGACAGGAGACTTAGAAAGGCTTCAATTGACGTAGCCGAAGAGAGGCGAGAAGCCGAAGAGAGGCGAGAAGCCGAAGAGAGGCGAGAAGCCGAAGAGAGGCGAGAAGCCGAAGAGAGGCGAGAAGCCGAAGATAGACCGACTCCAAACGGTAATTCCATCGATGTAACACGTTTCCCGACATTTTTTATGGCGAGCATAACTAAGAGTACCTATAAAATAGTCTAACTTAACTCATAGCTGGATCTTGTATTGCCCATATGAGGTAATTTACCTGTATAAGTTTATGGGCATATCAATTTAGGAAATTGACCTGCCCTTTGAGAAAGGCATTAAAAGATGATACATGCTGCTGAGAATGATTATATAAATTCAATGCATTTTTATAAGATTCATTGCAAGCATTTAAGCATTGTTCTACTTTGTCTGGTACCAAAGATATTGCATGCAGATAAAGGTTATGATGGAAAAAGACAAATAGGATCTTTTTTGACACCAGCAACCAGAAGCCAGGAGGTATATGTAATAGAACACTAAGCTACCTACTATTTATGAATTGTTACAAGTATTGATCATCCTACATGGTGTTACAGGTGCCCAGTGCAATCATGCTTCTGGTGCGGAGTTGTCAGGATGGAGTCCGAGGAATCAAGGAAGGCAGAGGACCTGCGTATGAAGGAACCAGCCCTGCGGATGAAGTTCTGAGGTGCATACAGAGGGATCCCACTGAAAGACCAGGTAGGAGTTGGTGAACAGCTTGTGCACTGCAGTATATCATCCAGAAGTAACTGATAGCCTTTCTTGCAAAATGTTTTTTTTTAACTCATCACCACCTAAAGCTACTCATTATTGATATAATATCTTCATTTCATCAGGTAAATAATTGTTTACTCTAAGTTGTGATTCACATTGAAGTGAACACTATTTTAGAATATTCACTCAGCTTTTTTAGCAACTAAATACGGGCAAGTTTTTTATTGTTTTTTTTTTAAATAAATTTTCACCTTCTATAATATTTGTATAGGTAACTGCAATAAAAGTGCATTTCAAAATTGCAAATACTTTGTGTAAAGTTCATGGGTCTTGATGATGTCACTGTATCCAGTTCATCATATCAGATTTCAACTGTGCTTAAACTGCAATGTTTTGCTAATTGCTTCAGTAGGTATATAATGTCCTTTTATCCATGCATGTTAAACATATGTATCTCATTATGACTTGCCAAGATATTTCCCTGCTGTCTTATGCCATTTTTCATTTATTCACAGGTGCAATGCTGCATTGATAAGATCCAGATTCAAGAGCATGGATGCTACCAGATCCTGTGATTTGAAGTTACCAGTGTCACTGCTGCTACAAATGACATCAGCAACACTTCCTTTGGTGAAAGTTTAGAGGAGCAAACAGTTGGTGCTCTGTGTAGTCAAGCAGTGGAGTTTTGCCAATATCATGAAGTTGATTAAGGTGTCAATTTTTGCTCTGGCTTCTGGGACACCTTGGATCTACATTGCAACCTATGCTAGTGTTCAACATTTCGTGTCATAGGTCACTGATGCAAAGCGTGTTGCATCATATGAGAGCCAGCAAATTGTCAGATATTTTCTAGTGATAGAGAACTGCATGCCTTAAGCAATTGTTGAAGGTGATAAGTGGTGAATGGTAGGGCTCAGCCACTCAGCTTCTTCCTTCAAAAGCTATCAATCAGCTATAGAAGAGTAGTCATAGCAATGCTTCATATGTGAAGGCTACTTGCCGGAACAGAACATTTTGGATTTGTTAATTAAGTACCTCTTTATTACAAGTTTATGCCCTTACAAGCCAAGCTTAGTTTCCTTAGTTTGTTGCAAGTTTTCCAGGCAGCCTTCACACTTGTGTCGCTGAATATTAAACTTTAACTGATAGACCGACGAGATATTGTCCCTTTCGCATCAGATTGTAATCAGTCAGTCGTGTTGGTAGAAGGTACAGTCTGTCTTAAAAGTACCGCGCAAAGTGACGGTGGATCCATCAAGCCTGACCGAGGAAGGGCCTGCTATAATTTGAAAGTCACCGAACCAATTGACCTGGGGAACGGACGAGGATGTCATATAGAGCCACGCAGAAATCGCCGGTGATTCGTTGCCCATCATTACAGAATGAACGCATGCCGGATGAAGGGTTAAGTCAATAGTATGTACAAACTACAGGGATTTGATTGACTTATCTGACAGTGACGAGCGCTAGAGGTCAACTTAAGACCGTAGGTATGCGTTCTTGTCATGGAATGTGTGCTGTAAATCGATTGTTTCATGCGTGTGAATATATGTCTGAATGTAATAAGGTTTTTAATTTCAACTGTGTAAGTTAAAATATGTGATAACATCGTATCTTTCGTACTCCGTAGCTTTTGGTGACCATTCGATCAGCTCCCTTTCCTTCCGCTCAATGACGATGTAGTAGTTTGCCTTTCACACGCGTCATTGTCTTCCTAATATCGATATCAACTGTAGCTACTCATTTTAACAAAATGATGAACCTGAAAAAGACATGAAACGCAGTCTCCGTTCGCGGCGCGTCGGCCGACGTCGCCGCCCGCAATGTTATCCCCGGCCCGGCCGGCGCCCGGCCGGCGCGTTGTGTCCAAAGCATACCGTGCTGCCACCTAGCGAGACTTTTCGGAACTCTTAGCGCGAACATCCCCATTGCATTGTGCTTTTAGCAGCTCTGCAATTAGTCCCATGTGGATGAGCGATAACTCTTCGCAGGCTGGCTCTGCCGGGTGCAGTAACGTCACTTTGAACATCTTATGAGCCACAAATGAAATGAACGTCATTTGAAGCATGTTCGTAATTAGCCTCCAGCCATTATGTAGAAAGGGGAACACTTCCAAAAGAGGTTTGCTAATTGGTCTAGATGAGTAAATTTCATTAATGAGTGGGCTGCAAGCATCGGGTTCAGAACCAAATGAACGGTCTTGGCCATTTATTATTATTTTTTTTCGTTCGGGTGTTGTTGCCAGACCAATGGTGCAGCGATTCGAAGAACGGCGCGACTACCAGTTCCCAGTGCTGCTGCTGAATACGCATGTCGCTCTGAGAAAGGCGTGCAAAACCATCTTCGGAGGAAGCAGAGACAGCAGACCCCAAACCCCAGACTTCATGGACCATGGACCCACCACCCACACCACCCAAAACCCAGACTTCAGGGACCATGGACCCACCACCCACACCACCCAAAACCTCAGACTTCAGAGACCACAGAAAGCCTCCCACACCACCTAAAACCTCAGATTTCAGAAACCCCAGACCCAGTCCTCAGATTCCAGACCCAACTCCCGGACCCCAGACCCAACTCCCCAGACCTAACTCCCCAGATCCCAGACCAACTCCCCAGACCTAACTCCCCAGACCCCAGACCCAACTCCCCAGACCTAACTCTCCAGACCCCAGACCCAACTCCTCGCACCCAACTCCCCAGACTCAGGGCCCCAGACCCAGGTCGTCTCTCCCGGATCCACCTAACCCTCCCCGGACTCGGTCCTGGCAAACGCAGCTCCCCAGACCCAGCAACTCGCTTGGGGCGTCCACGTACGCACGTGCGCACGTGCGGGGGTCTCTTCTGCATCTCATGTAGAACTGGAAGAATCAACACCGAACAGCCGCCGGGTCCGGTCAGCCCCTGTCAGCAAACTGATAGCGATCACCCGCGCCTCGGAGGGCTGTTATTGCGGTGATCGTTCACAGCGTCTCCCGTCACTCCGCCGCATTCCGCGGGTCGCAGCAGTCGGCACCGGCACCGCCCAGCGGACGAGCTTCTGACAGCTGCCGCCAGGCGGAGCTGCGGGCGCCAACTCATTAGCATGCCCGCGCGTGACGGTCGGCCGCGACAAATGAATAATGATTTTATAACGAGCGTCCGAAGGTGCGCGGGTCGCCGCGCCGAGGGCCACTCAGCGGCCGGCCTGTTTGGGCGCTACGTGCTAATTAGGCGGCTGTGGGCGCGCAGTGACAAATCGCCCACCGCGCCGGCCGCGCACACCTCTGTCAAAACAGCGCAGCGTGGCGCGGCGCGGCGCCCTGACCACACCGCCGGCCACGGCGCGATAATGGCCTGTCGGCGGTCGCCACGCCACCCGAACCAAGATGGAGCCGCGCCGCCCGCAGGCCGCAGGGCTGGCTGTGGCCACCCGCCTTAGGTAACTACTATGAACGTCAAACCCTTTGAGACCCCACTTCTTTGCGATAATTTTTAAATGCGTCAACTTTCGTTGACAATATTCTGGCAATATATGTTTCAGAACCTGCCGAAACTTTTATTACTAAGGTATTTTGACGCCAAACTATTATGGAAGGTACTTCTCATTCACTCGTAATGCTAAGGTCAATTCAGGCCCGGGCAGAGGCTTGCGCTCGGCCACACTCGAGCCCCGCCACCAGCGCCATCTGCTCTAAATGCCATCTACCAGCGCCCGCTACCGCTACCAGCTACCGCCCACCATCAAGCCTGAATGGAGCGAGAGACGCGAGTGACCGGTCGCCGAGCAAGGAGCGCCGGAGGGGTAGGGCGGAGCTTAGCGCTGACGTCATTACGTGGCTCCGCCCCATGAGCGCGTAGCCTCTACCCAAACAGCAGATTCGCTCCGTGAAATTTAACATTACGAGTGAATGAGAAGTACCTTTCATAATCGTTTGGCGTCAAAATACCTTAGTAATAAAAGTTTCGGCAGGTTCTGAAACACACATTGCCAGAATATTATCAACGAGAGTTGACGCATTTAAAAATTATCGCAAAAAAGTGGGGTCTCAAGGGGTTTGACGTCCATAGTAGGTACCGGCCCCTGTCACAGCATAGGTCGGCCCGACACCTCTCCCGGCGCGGCAAGACACAGACACCCTGCTAAGTGCTCAAAACTTTCTATTTCTGCTCGCATATTGTACCTATGTATTTGTGCTATCGAAGTTACCGGTTACTGGTTCGGTGTCTGTTGCTGTAAGCAGTGGGGTTCGATGGCCGAGCTCTCTGCTGACCCGTGACCCCTGCTGACCTGTGACCCCACCGAGCCACCCAACCCGACCGGCTCGTTTGTGGGCGGCCGGCAGCGTCGTGACCGATGAGCACGCTGCTGCCCTGCCGGCACGGCCTGCACAGCCGCCGTCCGAGGGCCGCTGGAGCGAGCGGCACGAGGCGGGAGTTGCCGCCAGGCCGGAGAGAGAGCTGACGACGCCGGCACCATGGCGGAGGCGCGGCCGTTCAGCCGCACTGCCGCCGGCCATCAGCACCCGCAGCCGGCTGGATGGACAGAGACACAACCGGCCAGATCTCCACCAGATGTTTTGTGCGTAAGTGCGCATGTCTAATCATGTTTTAATGCATAGAAAACATGAAATGTTGTTTGAGGATGTTTGAATTGATTGCAACGGATTTATCCGCTTTTAATTTAAATTCAAACATGGACAGATGTAGAAGGCTTTTTTCCCTAACTTGGTTTGGCTCGAAGGACACCTTTCTACTTTTTCACACACTTACGCCAGCGAAAAGGGACAAATCGAACCTAAATGGACCATGAAACATGTGTCACGTGACCGATGTATGATATAAATTTCCGTGATCTGGGATGAACTGGCCTTGACCTGAAGAATTCGAAGCACAAGTTCGGTACCCTCAGTGTATCTTAGGAATATCTTCATGAGTGTGTAACCGAAAATGAGCCTGATCTGACCAGTGGCGCGGGAACCGGGGGGGGGGGGGGGGGGCTAGCGGGGCTGAGTCCTCCAACATTTCGGCTGGGGGGGCTCGTAATGTATTTGAGCTCCCCCCCCCCCAGCTGGAGGAATCGAAATCGGAAATCTACCATCATAATTTCATAGATTCATACATAGGCGCGGGAACCGGGGGAGGGGGCAGTGGGGGAAGCTTGCCCCCACAGCTCTGGGGCCGGGGGGGGGGGGGCAGTGCCCATGCTCCACAACTTTTCATGAGGTCAGGAACCGCTGGGGCAGCTTGTCCTCCCCAAATTAGGGGTTTTGGGTCACAAAGGAAGAAAGCATGTAAGTGAAAAATCCACCTCTTTCACTGGCTCGGCAACTCATTTGGCAGATTAAAACCTTTATTCCAGGCTGCCAAAACAAAACGGTAGTTTCTTCACTCAGCTGAGACGGAATACCTGACTTCTTTGCAAATATTTTCGTTTTTTTGTTGTTGTTGAAAAGGCCAAGGTCTGAAAAATAAGTGGCCTAAAACCGGTGAGAAAACTAGATTTGGGGTACCCTATAGGTTGATCTCGATTATGGTTCAGCCCCCCAGTCTGGAAGAATTTCCCGCGCCACTGGATCTGACTTGTTAGCCGGCGGCTAGAGCCCAAATGGTTAACAAGCCAAAACGTTGATAATGTTTACGTTGACCTGATCTGTGACGTCATCGGTGAATTCGAGGTAAATAAAATTACGGTTCGCTCGACAGTTTTTCCAGGGCTATCAGACGCC